GGTAGTATGAAAGGGTATGTCTGTATGGCACCCACAATGTCATGCCAGAGATCACTATGCTTCTGCTCACAAACTCCAAACTGACAAGTGAACCAGGGAAGCTGTTCTGGGCTCATTCCCAAAGACCATTCCCAAGCTTGCCAAAGATTGAAGTCTCAAGTGACCATGGCAGAACATCCTTACAGTGGCTTCTCCAGTGCATTTCTAGGTTAAGTCAGCAAGGAGGAACAGGTGGGCTGGGGATGTTTGGAAGCATCCCTACCAGAACAGTGTCAAAACCCCAAATATGTTTAAAAAAAACAACCAAAAAACCCCTAACTGACAAATAGCCTGTTTATCACAGTAGCCCAACAATGCCCAATTAAAAGAGAGAAATCTTATTTTCTCCTAAGAGAAATGCACTGAAAAACAGAAAGCAGATCTTGTGTCCTGGTGCCTTAACCACAAGATACAAGTCTGCTCTACCCTAAAACCACTGCTGATGAAACCATTTCTGTGGGCGAGACAGTCCTTTGGTCTCCAGTTTTTCAGTCTTTCGTGTCTCTGCTGAGAATGCCAGCAAGGCAGCAACAGTATTGCCAATTCACATAAGTCACATAGTATTTGGTGTTTTTCTTGCAGTTCTGCTTCCCAGAAATGAGGCAGCATCTAGGCTGCTAACTAAGGTTAATTTTAAGGTCACCCTAAAAGCCATATAAGCTGACCATCTCCCCTGTAAATCTCAAGGCTAGAACGGCCCCACAGGCAGTTCACCCTACTCTTGTTGACCCCCCTGTGGCGCATCTCCTAGCCACCTCTCTCTGAAGCACGTTTGAAACTCACCCTGGCAGGTAGGATTCAAGCACAGTCAACCAGATGCAATTCTACAGCTCTCTATTCCCGTCTTCCAGATTTTCTCCACCACCACTTCATCCCTCTACTGCCCATAAGTAGACAAGTGCCTCCTAGAAGGACTCGAATCTCACAAATAAGACGCATAATGTGGCCAACTTTGGCCACGACTAGTGGACTACTAGCAACGATACGGACAGGGACGTGTCTCTCAGATGGCTCAGGCTGGCTGAGGATGACCTCAGAGCCAATCCTAAACATCAACGTAGACATATCTGAAGTGATTGCAGGAGAATTTCAGCTTTAAAACCCTTTTCTTTCTTTTTTTTAATTCAAGATTCACGGTTGCAAGAAATTCAAAATATGACCCAAAGCAGCACTCTAGAGGATAAAGGACCAGAAGTGTGATAAAACTTAGTTTTTAAAATCTCTTACAATGGGCCTTGAATCATGACTGGTGGGTTGCCAAATATTGGTAGTGCTAGTCACAGTGGTGGTTTTGAACTATGGCCACTTAGCCAATAGGAAATGAAGTGATAGCAAGAACTCATTTCACAGAGGCTGACAAATGGCCCTAAGGGGGCAAATTTTTGTCAATACTAGACCAAGCTAAATTGGAACGGGCAACCCAAATTACATCTCCCGACTGACCAGACCCCAGTCAATCCCTGGGGGGAATGTGGGGGGCAGAAGTCAGCTATCATATTCAGTAGAAACTTTATACATTTGTGATAGCTTAGCTTATATGACCAAAACAAGAGAAATTCAACCTTTGGTTCCTTAACAGACTGCCCCAAAAGTAACAATAACTGTGGACAAATGAAGACACCAAAAATATATGCATTTTAGAACAGCCAGCACTGTGAACTCACTGTAAACACCACTTTATGAAAAGCCTACTACACCTCCACAGTTTTTTATTCTTAGCTCTCATTCAGTTGTCTTTCATATAACAATCTTATTTTAGAAGAAAATAATTGAACTTTGATTCTTTGTGATAATGCACATAAGCTTCCCACATACCTGCATTATGTTTCACAGCCTTTGGTACTTCAGTTAGACACCAACTGACAAACGAAAAAGGGCTGATTTGTTCCCTCCTAAGGTAAAACCTGAGGGAAGGGATTGTGAACAGAAGACCCCCCTCTATGGGCTGTCCCCAGCGAGGTGCAGTGACATAAAGATGCATATAAAATCAGCGCCTTTAACCCCCAAGTTTCACTGCCTCTAGGAAACCCACAGTAAGGACTGCATCTCAGGGCATTCTGGCCCTAACGGAGTCATACAACTGAGACTCCTTAGCCACTGCTAATCCCAGGACACTCCATAAAATGGGTTGAAACTTCCAAAGGAGGTCACTGAAAACCAAATATAGCATTTCCTTACTCAGGTGACTTATGTGAGGGAAGCTGGTGCTCTGTATGGGCATGGGATTTTGTGCTATTCAATTCCACTTTAAAAAGTGTGATATATCCACTGCACCCAGGCTTTCTTTTCTGATGTCCCCCATTTGATAGTTATTTTCTTCCATTACCCCAAGACAGAACTAAAACTCATCTATTTGTATTATGCTAGCTGCAGATTAATGTCCTGCCTACATTTTCAACTGTCGTTAAAACCCCAGACATTTGCTTAATAAAAATTTAATCATGTTGTAATTTCTAATCACCGTTTAAGTCTTAATGAGTTAAGCTCTCCATTGTCCTACCCCAACACTACGGAACAGGTCTTCAGTTGGTGTAGATCAGCATAGCTTCACTAAAATCAATAAAGCCACCAGTTTACACCAGCCAGCTGAGAATCTAGCCAAAATTAAATACGACTTTGTTAAAATTCTGTCACTGAGGCTAACATAACATACCGCCAGATTTGCAATGGCTTTCATTTCAATCTGTCTGAACTGCTTTGCAGCATACATAAATGCAAATAGAGAAGCATACAAATGCAATAGGGGATCATCGTGTTACTGATACAGCATAAACTAAAGATAAATCTTCCAGAAGCTGTATGGGCTAGTGTCCTTGGTCAAGCAAACATAGCACTGCAGTACAGCTATAAAGTCAATTACTCCCTTCTTCTTGCGTTTCAATAAGATCATTAGTTATAACAGACAACACAGAATTCAGGGCTGTAACCGACAATAGGTGATTCATAGCCCGCAGTAGATATGTGCTCCAACCTGTCTTCGATCACCAGAGAAAAGATGGACTAACATGCGAGAACCAAGATAAAGTCCTTCATGCATCCGCAGGACTGAAAACTTGCAGTTAAGAGTCCCAAGACTGCAATGTAAGCCGTGTTTGACGGGAATATGAAAATCTGGCTGCAGTTATGCCTGGCTCTCGCCCATTGCATATATTGTTTACTCTTCATCAAAAGTTCCACAACATGCCCCAAATTAAGTTAAAATACCTATGGGCAAAGTCATCTGCAGCATGGAGGCACAACAAATTGAGCGCTATTTTGTGGGTGTACTGAGAAAGTGTGCATAGTAGCACGGCCTGTTACAGCAGACTTTTCACACACCTTTGACAAGCCACAGAAAGTCTCTGTGGCTGTGGATAGATGCAGCTCTTACATGCTTTCAAAGGGAAGGGGAATATGCCACTTGTAACAGTTAAATCAGGATAACTGATGCACACTCCCAACTGTCCGCTCCTAAACCAGGATGCAGGTTTCCCTCACTTTATGCTGTACGTGTTCCTGGAAAACAGTGCATAACTCAAATTTGCATAAAAGGAACCCACTTTACAACATAACAAATAGGGATACTTTCCAAGACCTCAACTGTACTGACCCCCAGACATATTTCTACTACTTTTACAAGACAATTTTGGTACTCACCAACAGCAGAGAGTACACACAAGCACAGGGCACTATCATAATTGGGATGGCACCTACAGAAACACGTGTTGCAGACAACAAGCGAGGAGCACAGATCCACACAAGAGACTATATTTTGGTGCACGTCACTCCCACAATGTACCGTACAAAGCAGCTGACTGTGGACTTCTACCACACCAATTGCATAACAGTGAATTTACCTCGCATATACTGAATTTTTGGTATAAAAAGGGCGATCGCATAAAAGCGAATTTGCACATATAGATCCCACATAAAGCAAGGGAAACCCATCAATGAGCCAAACCACTGTAAGTTTAAACTCCAAATGAAATACATTTAGAGCGCTAGTTAAAGATCAGGCATGTGACAGTTATTTCAGACCAATTTATCCTGTTATAACTGTAATTTAATACTAGCATAGCTGTTACGTCTGTCCACACCCATGCCCTGCTGACAGTCAGGTGTAAGATCAGCACTGAGGGCATGGACCAAAGAATCCACAGGTGCATACACGCACATGCTGTGGCCCTTAACGTGCTGTGTGAGTAGCTCAGAAAGGCTGTGGTTCCTATGCATGAAGCCTGCAATGGCAGGAAAAAGGAGAGAGACAATCTCACTCCCTTATCATAGGGAGGGAGAGTGCATTTCACTTGCCCCAGCTACTGCATTTCACTTGCACTTCATTATGACTCATTTATCACAGGGGTGAAAGGAATTTTACCTTTAATGACTATGCCTTTGTAGACTGCTTGCTAAATAATACTCATTTAATAACCCTTCATAAAATATTGATTTTCATTTAATATTTAGACTTCTGAAAGTAAAGCTTCATCTTAAGGGGCACGGGTCTGATTCTACCCACTTCACTGATACAAGAAGCCAGACTCACTGAGCCAAAAATCATTCTGCAGAAAATCCCACCAACTTAAGTGCAAACACTCAGGCGAGTAATCAGAGCAGGCTTCACCCCAAGAACACAAACCAAATTCTGAAGATGTTAACCAAGAAAAAGGCCGAAGTGATGCTAATGAAAGCTCAGGCAAAACTCATTCAAAACTCCAGAATTTAGCCATATATTATTAAGCAATACTAAAAAAAAAAGTGAAGCAAAACCACTATGCAATACTTTTTTACGTATACCCTTTGTTTCAAGCCTAGTAAAATTTCACTTGCCCCATTATAATTTGGCTGAGCATTTTTCCCCCCACAAATTAAGCAAAGTACAAATTTCAAAACATGCACGCTGACATTTTGCTTCAACCCGCTTTATTCACTTGTTTTAACAACTGCAGGTACGGTAACTTATGGAGGCTAAGCGCCTTTACCCAAAAGTTTGCGGACTTGTGTTTGATTGTAGACAGGACAGGACTCCAAAGAGCGCTCCTCCCTGCAAAAAACACATCTGAACAGGAAACGTGAATGAGTCGTTCATACAAGCAAAAGCAGCGATGACATTTGTGCCTATACCTACACCCCAAAGAGCCCGCATACGCTCTGGCCAAAGCATTTTAGTCCATTATTTTGACTCCTAGCAAAATTTTACAATGTGTCCTACAAAAACAAACTAACACCAGACATCCTGACGTTCAGGTCGTTAGCACGGGGAGGGCAGTTCAGCACCACACCACACTACTTCTTTTGCATCCTCCATGACATCCCCTTCTCCCGTGTTACTCCAATTTCTTTCCTGCTCAGGGAGCTCATCTTGCATAGACACTGGGGCTGGAAGGGACCTCGCAAGGCCACCGGGTCCAGCCCCCTGCCCCAGGGGGTCGCCCAGGAAGACCCAAGTGCTTTTTAAGGAGGCGCTTGCACCACCTCTGGGGGGTCTGCCCCAGGCATGGGGGGCTCGGACAGCGGGATCTTTTCTGTCCTTCCCACCGCCTGACTGCTTGCGCTTGTACACACAGTCTAACGCAGGGAGGAAAGAAGAAAGCAGGGATAACACCTCAGCCCGGGTGGGGGTTGTGGGGGATGCCTCCGGGGCCCCTTTCCCGGCGAGGACGGAGGAAGCGGAGGGCGGCTCTGACCGTCCCGCCGCCTCCCCATTGTTGGGCACCGCGTGCCGAGCCTCTCGCCG